CACATCTGCACTTAACTCTAGTAATTGTTTCAATTGTTGAACATTTCATTAACTACGGCTGCAGAAAGCCTTATCAAACTGTATCATGTATGATACTAGGAGGGGCTGCGGTAGTCGAGTGGTTAAGGTGTCTGACATTCTGCTACCACTACCCCTCATCCACTGGGTTGCGGGTTGGAGACCTATGTGTGGCAGTCACCAGCTGGTACTGGCCGGAGGTTTTTTCCCAGGTACTCCAGCTTTCCTCCACCATCAACAAACAAACCAAATTTTCATGGAGATTATTATTGCTTTTTTTGTAATGAAAACCTTTCTTTAAAGTTGTAACTTAAAAGTTACTGTGCCACATTCTGTCGGGAAAACTTGTGTTAAAATTGAAACTTCATAAAAAGTCATAGATATCATAAGCATATTTGCATACACGTTAAAAGAGTTAAAATTCCAATGAAACTTATATATATTGATGTCAAATATAAGCTTATGTGTGCAAAGCTTTTCTCAACTGCTTCTTATCGCACCAGACGCAGGTTTGAAGCCATGTTTATGTTATTATCATGCATAAGCGAATTCGTGACTATATTCTGACAGCTACAAATATTTCCCATCATTGTATTACATGCTTACATGGCATAGGAATCGAATGGTATTATTACAGACCAGGAATCAGATATACACTGTGATGGACTCGGCTCTCTGGATAGGGTAGTCTCTGTCATAGGCCTTTATACTATTGATTTGGCAGTCAATGTGAGGCATTGTCTATATATATATGCATGTATACATGTAACAGGTCATTCAACTCTGTGTGTTACGAAATCGAGAGTAAAGCAGCTTGCATCCTTTCAACCTGTATACATAGTACTGTATATATATTAACTCATTCACCCCTGAAAACACATTTGAACTCTACCAATTCAAAGGTTAGAACAGTCCATTCTGAAATTTCAGGGGTGATGATCATGAGTTAAGCATAGACTTCCAGCGGATCTATATTAAGACCAAATAGAAGCTTATGCATTTGCAACCTGTTTGATAAATTCTAAACAGATATTTTTTTCTAATGACATTAAGTAAACGTCATATGCATCCTTTTAGATAGATATATATATGCAGATAGCAGGTCTAACTCTACTGCAGTAATTAGCTAATTTAAGAACCTGTTTGACCAAAATTTAGATAGTAGATACAGTACTAGTACATGTATATGTTTTGCCAACAATGAAATATAAGCTTTTTAGAACCTGTTTTATGCATCAAATACAGACGGAAGATTTATTTTTTCTAATGAATACATACGAATAATAAGATACATAATGTCCTCTAAAAAGCTGGGATCCCTATAGCTTGTAGGGGTGTGCAATATCATCTTAATATTGGTTATATCAGAAATAGTTTTTTGACAATGATATATCGCGATATTTCTATCAAATACCAATATTTAATGATATTAATAGAAAAATAGTTATAAGTTAAAACATGTTGAATGCAATCCAGTATTTTCAGCATTTTGACTTTTTTTTTAATTTGATGTTTTGCACTCAAAGATTTTTTGATATTTTATTCTGTGACATGTGTAAAGAATACACTATTTAAATGTTTTTGATTGTTATGTTGTTAATAATAACCAAATAATTATTCCAAAGCATTTTGATTTCTTGATTTTTAACCTTTGTTGAACTTCAAAAAAAATATGAAATGTTGTAATATATTGCAATGATTTCAGAAAAATCACAAGCTTGGCAATAACCAACCCTAATCCCTTGCATCATTTTGCATCCACATGATGCAGTGACTGCATCAACAGGTATTGTGAGGGTTTACATAAATTGGAGCTGGCGGTAAGTATGTGTGATCAACTGATACTGTTCTACGTATATGTGTGTTACAGATAGACGGTACATGTATTTGTAAATGTTCATCAAGTAATAACACGGGAGAGATATGATCATGACAGCAATCAACTTGTACAACCATTCTGGAACGCTCGTTATAAATACCAGATACCTACAGACACATTCCAACGACGATTTGACATAATATATCCTGGTCGCAGGCACCAAAATGTTTGGTAGTGATTCTTCCCTCAGTATACAAAAAGTACAATGTACCAAAAAGAAATGGATCGAGATATAGCCAATTTTTTTTTGACAAATCCACCCAAAGAAAATTCTCAATGCAGATTAGATTATATAGGATTAGGAGACCCCCAACCAGGCTTCAATAACACCAACAGTTCTTGTTAACTTTTCTTGTCATTTTGTGTTGTACAACATACTCCAACCATACCACTGTAACTTGACTTAAATATGATGAATGAGATATATCAGTCTAAAAAGTGGAGTGTCAAATATCTCAACAGAACCACATGTATAACAGACTGGTAGTTTATAGGTAGCCAGTTATCTTGAACAAGCTATCAGAGATAAAGGTTAATCAACGCACCATCTTTCAGATCAGTGTCATACAAGCGTTTAAACACCAGTTGGTGAGTAAATCCAGACCATCGCAGCCTATCGAGTTACAGAAGATGGCAATTTGAGGTACTTAGAAGTATATTGGCTTCTCCACAGCAGCATAACATGAGCTTAATTACCCTGACCATTTCTTCGGGAATGAGTCCTTCAAAGTGTTGTCAGCATATATTTATAATGATATTTTAACCACAATTTTCCAATATTATATCCTCTGCAGCTGTTACGAAATATTTTTTAATTTCATATCGTTTGTCTGAGTGACATATTTATTATTTACCTGCTTTACATATATATATATATTTATACATACATACAATGAACTATATATTAAATAACTTATATATTCCTGAAATTATAATTTTGTCACTTTATTAAAATTAAATGAAACAGCGTATTGGGCTTTTCGTAGTGATGAAACATTTCATCTGATCATCATTTTTTCAAGATTGTGTGAATTGTGGTATACATATATAACAAATGAAAATTATAATACAAATTAAGTGTCAACAATAATATATCATTCATATATTTATAAAATTAATATTTATAGTTATAATATATTTTGAATCTACATGCACAGTCTTGCTAAAAATAATTGTGTTCACAGTTGGTATTTTAGCCAAAATCAAATTGCAGTCTCTTGTCGGCATGAAAGTCCTGTTCATCCTCAAAATTTTCATACAACCATATGCATAGATGATATTTGTTTCACGACAAAATGATACATACGAATGTATGTAAGCCACTGTATGGACTTTTTGTATGGTAATAATCACCTGGACCTAATTTACCATGAATTATCCGATGTTATTAGTGAGTGTTACAGTCAAGCCCTACAGCTATTTGCTTTCAGTGCTACTCAATTCCCTGAACAAATACATAGGTTGTTGATTTATAGATTGTTTAATGCTGTTCAATATAAATCTCTCCACTCTCAAGTGTCAATGCAGCCTTCCCACAACCCTATATAGCATGGATCCAATAAATCTAACCTATTTATTTTGTTTCAGAGAAGTATGTCACAGCCTCTAGCTTATGAAAAGCAATGAAGAGAAAATTATATTGGTTACATATGCCTGGTCCTACAGCGGGTTTCCCAGGCGCCTAATAAAAATGTGGCCATTACCTAAACATAAACATATAATGTATGAACTCTAGTGATAACCTGCTGGGATCCTTTGTATCATATCACTATACACACCGTTTGCATTTGTCTCTCATACATTTGTACTGAATGGCTATAGAAAAAAAATCAGAGATTTTCAACTGAATTAGGTTAATGTTGTAACATTTTATTCCTTCTGTCAGAACGAATTTAAAATTTGATATAGTTTTTTTTTAATTTTCCAAGTTCAGAACAAGTTCAAAAATCAAAATGTATATAGTGCAGAGCAATATATCAGGTACATGTAAATATTATTCCTGATGCTATTTATATATACATGTACACCATTCAAACTTTAATTTATATAGTGTTGATTTTATGTATTTCTGTATATTGCTGACCTTTCGTATGACCCAATACCGTACGTTACATACACAGTGAAATCTAATGTAATAAACCAAAATTTGTCCAGTGATATTTTGGCAGTTTATCAAGGAAGATACATATGCATGTACATCATATATATAAGCTTTGCATGTTGTCAGATATTTTTGTTTATAACATTTTTAAAATTATTTGAATTGACAAATAAAAATGTAGTTATCATTTTCACAAAAACACGATTTAATACATAAATATATCGTGATAAAGAAACAACCATTTCACTATAACTGTTGTTTTTACACAATAAAATGAATGAATTATAAAGAAAAGACTTGTGATCATTAGCATTGCACAATAATTAATGTTTACACTTGTATAGGATAGAAATACAATACAGGTATGCACTAAAATATCATGTTTAGTGTATGTGGGTGGATAGATCAGGCCTTACGAGTGTCCAACACAGGTATGTCATAATTTGTGAATGGGTAGCCAACTTGTCATCACATCCTGTAGGTATATTATCCCATCCTAGTCTATGACAAATGGCCATGATATGCAAATTCTGATAACATTATATCACAATGCAACAACGTGGATATCAAGATATCAAAATAAAACATTGTTTATTATCAGAAAATTTTGAGAATGAACCAGAAAACAAAATTTGAAATATAAGGAAATTCTTTTCTTCTAATCCAGACATATGTGACTGAGTCACTCCACTCAATAACCTTTATTATTTTGGCAATATTTTTATTAAAAAGTCGAATGTTTTCAGCGTATCAAAATACGGTTTATAGGAAACACTTTAGTAAGAATGACATTATATATTCAAGAAAATGATAATCATAAAGGAAAGAGCGCAAGCTAATTTATTCTCATCGATTTTCCAGTGATAAACACTCTCGAAGCATGAAACTTGAAAGCTCTGCCGAACCGAATCTGCGGCAACAACAGTAGACCGTTGGCTTGCTTTCTGCTACCGAATAAAAACATGTTTACGTGAAAACTAATAAACGCAGATGAATACATACCCAAATCAGTGATATACAAACAGCAGATAAAACCCGCAAACAGCAAACTTTGGATTCCAACCTCATTTTGAACGTATATTTCTGCTACATTTCACATAAGAATCTAGTACCACTGTGTTACTTCCGCTTTAGTTTTCCTTTGTGACAGCAGAGGTCAACACCGTCGCTGTCTCGGAATGTCTCGGACTCTTACACCCAAAACAGAAAAAATATTGTACGACGAGAGAAACTCGAAAGAACACGTGTGTATTCTGTAAGGTAAGTTATGACAACTTTAATTAGATTAATAATTAGAACATAAAACACAGTTTTTTCATGCAACAGAGTTGCAGGAACGTTAAATGTGAGGTCATGATATGGATTGAAGTCATTTAGATGAAAAGACACTCAATGAAATTATATTTGGCAATTTGGCACTAGCTATTTGTAAACAAATCTTTCTAGCCACAGGGACTTGGGGAAATAGAATGTTGACAAACAGGTTTAGGCTATGAAGCAAATATTATATTTATGATAAACGTAATGACATAATAATACAGAACTAGATTAGGTCTCTAAAAAAGCGGTGAATATCAATGTCATTATCTGGTGCTGAATTATTGTATTTTTGTAGAGTACTAAATTGGAAACAGAAAAACATCTACAGACCCCTGTGCTTTATGCTAGTCTCCTATGATAACATAGAATGTAGCATAGAGTGACTAGTTTTGGAGTCCTTAAGGCAGACATTGAGAATAAACAAATAAGTGCAATGTGCATCACATAGTTTATCAACAACATTTAGTCCTCATTTTTACTAGCATGGTCAGTAAATGAGTTTACATTTACTCTACAAATGATAACCAAAGTCATGCAACTCCATAATGCCATCAAGCTTGAAATATACTGCTATGGTCAAAACTGTATTCAGTGGAGGGGTTCAGTGTTAAAAAAATATTTTGACTTTTGTATAGATCTACATTTTGGAAGGTCAATTGACATTACAAATGTTTTGCATATGATTATTATGTCTATCAATTTACAATTCTGAGTGAGTGAGGGCTTTATTCAGGTCTTTTTTAATACCGGTTTTGGGCAATTCCCCTCAGAAATCATGCCAGTGATTGATCAGGGTTTTTTTTATCCTGAGACTAATAGATATAGCTAGCCTTTAACTTTACTATGACATTTTTCTCTCGGGTACAGAGACAGTATTAAGTGGAGTAATGAGGATGCTTAAGGCACCCTGTTCTCAACAAGTCTCTTAAATGTTCACATCAATCAACAAGTTTCTGATATTTGTTCTTCTTCCTCTCATAACTGACATCTTGCATTGGTCTTGTCTCTGATGATTTGACCGCTAACCATCACCACCATCGTCACCAGCTTTTTGGTAGATCTTTTCCACAACACGATGTTTGGTCCTAAATGGCATGGCTGTCGTTTACCAATTTCACTTGAACTTCCTCAAGTTGGTGTACGTCTGCCAGGATTTTCAAGTCATATGCTATAGCAAGAATCCTTGCACTTCCTTTCTGTTTCAAACTGCCCTTGGTCTTCCATCATTTCCACATGACATTCGTGAACTTTGGTCACTGTTCACTTTTGCCCTGATGTCACACACAGTCTGCTGGTAATCTCCTGAAGGATAATATTTCCATGCACCACAGCAGCTTTATTAGATATTATTATGCCCCATAACTAAAGGATACTATCAGTTACATCATTGGTTTGGTTTGAACACGTCTCTGTTTTACCTGGATTGAATCAGAAAGTTATTATAGTAACATATAAATTGTATATATATATATGAAGCAGATGTGGACTGTGTTGATGTGCTTGGTGTCCTCTATTTGGGGACACAAAAGCGACCAAAAGAAATCTACTTTGCCCATTGCAACATTAGGGATCTTTATCTTTCTTTCTACCTCTAACTACCTTTTATTTCCTAGCGCCTTGCTTGGCAGTACCTCACTTTTGGCTTGAATGTTGAGCGTTCGCCCAGGTGAGGAAGATAAGGGGTTCTGTCCCCAGGTCGGGACATACCAAAGTCCTTAAAAATGGTAGTTCAGCGTTAAGGGGAATGGCAACAACTGGTTTACTTGTTGTCAGTATAACGTGACCTGGCGGAATGCTGTGCTTGGTGCCTTCGACATGGCATTTCAGTGAGATAGCACTATAAAGTCGGCATCATATCTGAGCTATCACAAGGAGGCAAGCACACTAACATACCCTGTCTCCTGCATACACACAAGCAAGCAGGCATATACTACACACATGGAGGCACGTCCTTAAATGACCTTAGCTTATAATAGGACGCTAAACAACATTTAATTGTAAACAGTATGCTAGTACCGTACTTAGTATAATTATGATATTTTGAGAGTCGTGACATTGGTCATTTAACTCTTTGCTTGACAAAGGAAACAGACGATTTGGAAAGCTCACAAATAAGTTATTTTCAATTTCTGCTTGTGTTCAAAACAATCTTGATTAGCCTTAATTATTCATACAAAACTGATGAATTTTATTCCAAATTATGATAATGGTTGTTACTATACCAGCAGACTTTTATATAAAACTGCTTTTAGTAAATTACAAGAGTATTTGTTTATAGGGGGTCGTGCTTGATCTAATCAATGTCATCCACTAGAACAGTGCTCCGTGTGATTGGAGAGATGAGATTGGGATCCTACTGCCAACGTCGACTATTTCATCAGATGACAAAAAAATACAGAGCGGGGACCGAGCGTAAAAAAAATCCACTGTCAGTTGCAGGCTTGCATGTTGACCCCCCTATTGACACTTCACCAGGGCCCGTTGATGTTGATGGGGTCAAAGGTCAGCAACAGCATATTCCAGTAATGGCAGAAGAGGTGATGCAACATCTCAAACCAAAAAATGAACAGGTAACAGTCATTTGGGCAGTATAAAGTTCTTTCCATTAACCATTTCACCACTGTAGACCATAATGGACTCATCCAACTCAATGCCAGGAAGAGTCTACTAAAGATGCATAGGGGTGAAAGGGTTAACACAAATAGCTAGACTTCATTTAACAATTCAAGTCCTAAATTAGCCCCCCCCCCCCCCCCCCCCCCCCCCCCCCCCCCCNACACTCAAATGTATAAAGTGTCGAAGGTGTTGAAAATCATAAACGTTTTTATGACACTTCTCTATTTCATAGGCATATCAAAACCAAATTAAAATCCTGTACTATTATTTAAAAGACATTAAAATATAATGAAAAATTAATACAATTGGTCTGAATACCCAACTCATATGTTTGGTTATTTTTGTAATTTCTTAAATAAGGGTCTGCTTTAAGTCCTTGTATCTATACTACAGTTCATTTTTTTTCTGATTTAAGGGTTAAATTCTGCCTTTTTTGCACATGTAGCTTTACATTGACATGACGTTTGGAGGCGGAGGCCACACCAGACAGATACTGGCTCACGCCCCACAGGCAAGAGTGATCTGTGTAGACCGCGATCCAACTGCCATCTCAATAGCTCAGGAGCTGGCCAACAGCTATAGGTAACATAATGTAGCATGTAGTCACAATAGTGGTCAATTGTAGGGTCATAATAGCTGCAGTGGTCAAGTGTCCGGTCACAATAGTTGAAGGTACAGTGGTCAAGTGTGGGGTCATATAGAAACTGCAGGTACAGTGGTCAAGTGTGGGGTCATCATTGCTGAAGGTACAGTGGTAAAGTGTGATGTCAAAATAGCTGCAGGCACAGTGGTCAAGTGTCTGGTCATAATAGCTGTAGGTACAGTGGTCAAGTTTCGGGTCATGACAGCTGTAGGTACAGTGGTCAAATGTGAGGTCATAATAACTGTAGATACAGTGGTCAAGTGTGAGGTCATAATAGCTGCAGTTACAGTGGTCAAGTGTGGGGTCATAATAGCTGCAGGTACAGTGGTCAAGTGTGGGGTCATAATAGCTGCAAGCACAATGGTCAAGTTGGGGTCAAGTCTGGGGTCACAATACCTGTGCAATATGACAAGTGAATATCAAATTTTTGTAATGTCTTAATTTTTGTTAAACCAATTATTATGGCATATTTTTTTATGAAGCAAATATGTATTCCTGCTGTATTATTAACATTTAGCTTTCTTTTCCTTGGTCAAGTCACACATCTATATATATATAGCCTCTCTACAGCTCTGGTCAGATCCTATTCTCAAACTACATGTGTATGAATATCTTATACAGTCCTGGTCAGATCCAGACCTGTCACACAAAGTTTTCGCTGATCCACACGCTCCTTCCTGAGCTGGGTGTGACCCCTGGGACAGTGGATGGTGTGCTGTTTGATCTTGGGGCGTCGTCCATGCAGTTTGACCAGAAAACGAGAGGCTTTTCCCTCAGTGCAGATGGACCACTCGACATGAGGATGGATCAAAGCAGGTCAGTAAATCACTTTGCGTATAGTAATACACGAACATTTTCTGAACAATTTTATGTTAAACACAGAACAGTCTTACGGGTAATATGAATTATAATGTCATTTACCCAGATAGTTAAAAGTCAAAAACATTAAGCTTTTACACTTACAGGATTCACCCACTGTACACTCATCACTAGACTGTACTGATAAACATGATTTTATTGAAATCAGAAATGTGATTGTAAATCTTGAACTGAGCCAACCAAGATATATCGCATCAAAGTATCATGAAACCGCACCAAAGGGAGATAACTATGTGTAATTCTCTTACTGACCTTGACTCCATACTGGGCAAACTGGATTCAGGTGTGTTGTTTACAGGATCAGTGCTTGCAACCAGGAGGCTACTTTTAAGGAAGGTTGAATCATTTAAGAAATATCAACAAAACAAAAACATTTCTTCATATCTCAAAAATATTTTCATCATCTCAAACTACAGAAACATTTAAACTCATAAATGGGACACAATCAAATCTTTGAGCTACTTACAACCAGCACGACTGGCTCACGGAAATCAAGTTCACCCTCTTTGATAGCGACAACAGATGAGCAAGGTTAGATAAATTGGTTTAAGTGTAATCCCATTCTGATCATGAGCAAGTGCGATCATCAGCCATTTACCATAGTCAAGGCTCTAACTTACACCTAATGTGCTTACATGTGCTGGAACACAACGACCAATCACTGCCTTGCTTTCAAATTATTAGAGAGTGCGTAGATGACCACCGACCAAAGGAAATTGGTAGGTTGTACCACAATAGTCCAGACATACGGTGATACCCACCGTAACTTCTTGTTTCTGTACACATTGCCACATCCTCGATTTCCAGGGGTTGCGCTCACTTTCGCTCTCAGCACTCCTGTAACATGTCATAGCAAAATTGAAGGCTCAGTGTTCAGCACCTTGTAGATGAGACGAGTAGCTAGTAGTTTGATCCTTTGATGTACACCAATAATCTCGCGGCCGCGTAACAGTAAAACTTACTGGCTTTGAAGTCGGGCGTCACTTCTCTGTAATCTTCAAAGAACAAGCATTAGCCTAATGATTGGTCAGGATTTTTTTTACCTGACACGAATCAAATAGCTAGTAGCCACGTGCCTTCAATTTTGCTATGAAATACTCCAGGGGTGCAGAGAGCGAAAGTGAGCGTAATACCTGGATATCGAGGATGACATGCCCAATACACATTACCTGTACTAAAGTGAGTTTAATAACTAGGTAGGGCATAGTCAATATAGTTGAGGATCAAACTCGCATCATAGTTTGCAACAGCATGGATAACAAGGGGAGATAATTCAATTGTAGCAAAATTGATTTGTAGTGAATCTCCTAGAACACATTATTGTCAGTGTACTGACCATTTCTGCCACAGTGACAACAGCGAGCCCTCAGCAGCTGACGTTGTGAACGGTTTTGACGAGCTGGAGCTCGGGCTGATCATCAAGAAATACAGCGGGGAGAAGAATGCCAGAAAGGTAGCCCATGCTATTGTGGAGGCCCGCTCTGCGTTCGGCAGAATCTCCCGCACACAACAGCTGGCTGACATCATCGCCAGTGCCTTTCCCGAGTAGGTACCAGAGTAGCCAAACACCATTGACATTATGTTTCCTGTTTCATGTCACAAGTCTTCTTGTACTTATTCCTGCGTAGGCCTATTTTTGTCTCGCCGCCACAATGTAGTGGAAGCGAGACTAAGGTTTTGTTTTTCTGGCGATGGTGGTAGCTTCAACATTTAGTTTTTTCGTTTAAGTTAGTTTCACTGAAAGTATAAGTGCTAGACCAACCAAACTTGCACCATAGATGCATCTTAGGTAGTACATCTCAACCCATGCATCAAATACTGGATGCGGCCTACCTTTCATGGTCCATTGACTTTGTCAGCATCTCCATCAACATTATGTTTTTTGCGTTTAAGTTAGATTCTCTGTATCTGTAAGTGCTAGACCAACCAAACTTGACACGTGCATTGATGGTCAAAGCGGGGCACAGGCGAGACATATCGATCCGAATGGCTTGTTCAGTAAAAGTAGTACAATGTATACATGTAGTACCACTTTGCAGGGTTAGACACTAACAATTTTCCTTACCTAGTCTAAAGGATTAGCTAGGAAATTAAACAACTAGTCCTTGGATGCTGTTGATTGTCCTTGCCTCAGTAAATGAAGAGAACGGATCGGTATCTGATAGCAAGAGGTGATGAAAAAATAACTAGGTAGTCCGCAGTATACTTGTCGTTCTTATTGTTTACTAGTTCAGGACAATCGGACTAGTGTTAGTGTCGAACCCCGACTTGTGGTTTGAATATTTTGCTTTTGATTTAACCTCTCTCAATAATTAAACAGTTTATATTATTAGAAGATAAGAACATGAATAATATACAGTATATTTGGTGTATTTTTTTACTGTAGTAAGAGATTTTGATATTTTGTATCATCATTTCATAGACAAGCATACAGTATTAACATACGGTTGTGTTTTGCAGACGTTTACAATACAGTCGAAAGGACAAGCTAAAACGTTTGTCCCATGTGGCTACACAGACATTCATGGCGCTCCGAATATTTGTCAACAACGAGATGAACGAGGTAAACAATGGCCTAGAAGTGGCGCACTATTATCTACGTCCAGGCGCATGTTGTGTGACCTTGACCTTTCACTCCCTGGAGGACCGCATCGTTAAACGACACTTCCACGACATAGATCTGGACTCTAAAGCTAACCTTAGTCTCCGTCAGATGCGACACAAGAAGGCTTCTACAGCTGAAATAGAGCAGATCCTACACAAACGATGGACACCGATTAGTAAAAAGATTGTCGCACCCTCATCCTCCGAGTGTGAAAGTAATCCACGTGCCCGGTCTGCCAAGCTGCGTGCGGCGGTCAAGAATGAAACTAACCAGTGATGAACAGATTTAATGAAACTTGGTCCATGTTTATCTCTTACAAAGACAAAGTTGAGCTAACTCTGTGCATAATTATTAATTATAATATAGCTTGAAATAGGGGCAAAGAAAGTGATTCACAAACAATTGAAAGAGTGTCAATATCATACATATACTGTAGTGTACCAGGAAATTTCCAGTCAAACTTTCACCCTGCACTCACAAATCAATTATTGCCCAGTGTAAATTCCGCCCCTTCACATTTAATTACTATGTATGTTACATTTGTATGCTGTTTACTTATATTCGCTGTAAAGATTAAGTCGCCTTCATTACGGCAGGTGAAAAGGATGAACAATTTAACTGCAGCGAAAATTCCCGGTATACAGCATTCCTTCTGCTAAAGCAGGTCAGTCAAGTACAATTGTTTTCTCTTTTCACGACATCTTAGAAATAATTCTCAACTCTACAGAGTAATATAGTACAAATGTAGGTTCTTACTGTAACACATCCTTTCCATTTTAATACATTTTGAAGAATACATGTGCATATTGTTCTGCGTCTGGGTTACTCGTGTCTTTTACAGGACTTCAACGATAAGCAGAAATATTCAATTTGAATATTGTTATTTCATTCAAATCTGGTACAGAAGTTTGTAGAAAAAACCTCTGTTGATCTTACAGTAAATTTTGATTAAAATTTGCATTATTGTCTAGATAGCATTTTTATGGCAATGTTTAATTCGCTCTCAAAAGGGGAACCGAAATTAAAATGGTGTAGCGGAACTGGACTGGGTCGATCATCGGCGACCAGATAGCTCAATTGGTAGAGCATCTATCTAGAGTTCAGAGAGTACCAGGTTCGAACCCTGGTCTGGCCATGCATTTTTCCTCCCCTTTTACAATGGTGCAGAAAGTTCTCTTTTACATAATATCAAAGATAACAATACCATCTTTTCATTTTATACAAAATAATTTTATTGCTGGATTTCCAATGAACATCATAATACATTATATCATGTATAAGTAAAGATTTTCTAACATTGAAATTTTCAATTCGTCTTTTAAAAAGAAAATAATTATTATTCATTATTCAATGTTATTGTTTATGATGTATACATGCGGTAGCATGCTCCCATTACACAAACCACAAAACAATCGTGCTCCCATAAAATATTAACCACAGAATAGGGTAAATTAGCATATTGTATCTATAATCTCAACGGTTCCCAAAACTGAAACTCAACAGCATAAATAAGATGGGGCCTGCTTGTTTATGCAAAACAACGGGTTTTTCGGTTTTTAAATGTAAGGTTTTCGTGTATAAATCCTTGCGGATCTGCAAATGTCTACGCAGGCATTTGCAAGGCTTTGCCTCAAATTACTAGGTCCGACCTTAATTTATAAACCGTTTGGATTGCGATAAACAAAGCGGTCATGATGTTGGTCTCAACATTATCAGGTCCGAAAAAGTGCAGAACAAAATATTCAAGAAAAACGTGTATACATGCATTTAAAATCACAACTGACGAAGGAGACAATTTTTGACCTTTTCAGGACACTCATGATCACTGGCAACAAATGGCCTGGCCAAGAAATTTCCACATTCCCGACCATCACACCCTCTAGGCCTTATTATTCAAGAAGGTTTGAACTTATCTTCAACAGCCCGATAATCTAGACATGATCATAATGACAAATTATCTATGTATTTTGTTTAAGAAATCCTCACCAAACCGATTTTCAAACATCGTGTATTACTCTTCATGTATACGCATCGCTACAACCACATTCTCCCCATTTCCTAATGACATTATGGGTATGATGTTTATTTTACACTTGTCATATTATTCTCCAAATAATTTTTCGCGATCACATCATTGACCTGCAAAATTGTGAAACATCAATGCTTCAAAAATATATATCCTGCTATAAGGCATCATATACATCAGGGCTTTGTACTGTGTCCTATATAGGAGGACAGGGAGGCATTTTTCACATTAACTGATAAGGAAAATTAATCATGATTTCAAGGAAAACTAACCATACTTCAAGGAAAATTAATCATGACTTTATTCAGACTACCTCTGTAACTTAAATATATAGATGAAATATAATAATATCTCAATAATAAGGGAAATACGTCCGGGGATACTGAAGTGTGTGAGGGGAACAGAGTGTTTTATTTCCTTCTCATGTGATCAATATACCAAGCGAATTAGACTAGCTGTTGTATAGATGAAATATAATAATATCTCAATAATAAGGGAAATACGTCCGGGGATACTGAAGTGTGTGAGGGGGACACAATGTTTTATTTCCCTCTCATGTGATCAATATACCAAGCCAATTAGACAAGCTGTTGTATAAATGAAATATGATATTATCTTTTAGATACACATTAAATGTGTCCAGTATACATGTTTTGTGTCAGGAAGCACAAAATCCAGTAGATATAGTTATACTGTTTACCGTGAAACTTTTGCCCTGTCAAAAATTTGTCCTTTACTGGTAGAATCCATTGTCACCCAGTGAAAATGTATGGAATGTTGTGTATTTATTTCCAATGTCGAAAGAGACAAAAGTTAAACTGCAGCGAAAATTTCCCGGTATACAGTTTACATTGTAGTAAGTGACACCGTTTCTGCAGCACTGAATGCATATGGAAATAAAAAGTCATTATTTATTATAAAACTAAAATACATAAAAAAATAATATTACATATTGAAAATTAACTGGTAATACTTAGTAATTTAAGATACATTGCATCATCAATACATACATGTACTTTGCTTCATCAAATGCATCACATTTCGCATGGGAACCCTAGACTACACCAATCCCCAAATTCATGTTATTCAAATCACATTAAATCCCCATTGTACATTTATCTGTAAGTGCGGGCTGCAGTGGCCAAGTGGTTGAATCGTTAATCTGTTTATTGAAGCTACTTTTTTCTGAAACCTCTCTATTCTGAAAAGTAGGGCGTAGAATTGGTTTTAGAATGATTCACTTTAATCAAGTGCAAACCAATAAACTCTGATACAACAGTACCGACCAGCCCTACATCTGGTATACTACAAACAGAATCAAACTTAACATTCAACTTATAGAAAACAAACATAAAATTGTAAAAAATGTCTCAAATATTTTTCAAGATATACATGCATACATATCCATTGATATTTGGTCAATCTTACCATAAATTCACATATCAATTACGCTGTATTACAATCATACATGAATTGTGCATAATGACTAAAAAAATAGTATATATTGTGTAAATGGGGTTATGATTTAGTGACACCCTGACCTATCAAGTTGGTCAGGGTGACTCCAACACTACCAACTCAGATCACTATTTACCTTATTGGACGCTCAAAACTTAGCATTAATATAAAGCATAACAAAGTTTGTCATACTACTCTTGAGAGAAAACAAATGAATAAAACCAATTCTGAAATACCAATTTCCGGAAGGAAAGTCACATGATTTGGTGATCACATGGTGCATTAAGAGGGGCATGTATACTTCTAGTAAAATCAATTAATAGTAAACCAAGGTTGTCGCAGTTTAAGATTGGTAAATCTTTATGAAAATGACTGAAATTTCACATCCTCTATGAAAAGGATATCTACTGACCAGTACTTGATTGTCCGATATGCTGTCAGAAACTACACACCAGGGGCCTGTTCGTTTATGCAGAACAACAGGTTTGTCCGTTTTTAAATGTAACAATTTCGGGTATAAATCCTGGCGGACCTACAAATATTTATGCAGGCCTTGCAAGGCTTTATCAAGGCTCGCCTGAAAGCAGCATCAGATTACTAGGCCCGACCTTATTTAATAAACGAACAACTGTGGTCGGACCAGTTTAACCGTTTAAACGAAACGGCCCTGTGTTATCGCTGTTTACCGTAAGTACATATACCCCCTCTATCACGTGACATACATATCTAAAACACGGTCGAATATGGAGAGAAAAAGTATTTTGAAAACGACATTCTCCTCTTAAACTACAAAAGTTTCTCCTCTACAGAATAATTTGAGACTTACCTTTTTCCATAATCGTGTAAACTTGATTAGAATTATAGACCTCTTCTGATGGAATTTTTGATGTGTCATCTCACAACATTATCATAGATACACCAGGAATCAACATTCACTTCTCTTTACAGAAAATAAAACAGTTATGGAACACAATGAAACCTGACTTCACACAATTTAAGGATCCTGTCCCCTGCTACAAGAAAACAAGAAGAATTCATCCACACAATACAATACATCTCCAGCACACAGGCAGGCATACACACATAGGGAGATATTAGCCAGGTGGCATATGTCTAGTAGTTAGCGCCTGATAAGGCAGCTCCTGCGAATTCCTCAAAACTGTATTGATTAATGTATATGTTAATTGTATTAATTGTATATCTATGTCCTGTAAAGCGCTTCAGAGTAGCTTATTCTAGCTAGATAGGGGGCTATATCAAATGTTGTATATAATATTATTATTATAAATTCCACAGAGATTAGTTTTCCTTATATATACAGTTACTTCCCATTAATTTGTTTTGGACATATTCTGTAGTGTGATAGGGCCATGGTATACTACCATTAATAAGATAGCTCATTTGGTTAGAGCCAACTTATAATGGCTCAGAGGCCCAGGGTTCAAATCCTGGTCTGACCCTGCTGATACTTTAAAATGGAAACATTGTTGTTGATTTTTCTTTTGTTTATTTCATCTTGTTATTTTTTCATGAAAGTAATGCAAGTATGATTTTCTTTTCATAAATAATTAACAAATCTATAGTTATGCCATTGAAAAAAAGTTTCCAATTCAAAGTTTAAAAAAATTGCAGTGGTACAGGGATCCTTAACTCATTCACCCCTGGAATTTCATAATGAACTATTCCAACCTTGGTATTGGAAGAGTTCAAATGTGTCTTCAGGAGTGAATGAGTTAATAGGGACTGGATATCCAGATTATTTGTTGAGATAGTACAGTACATCGAAAAAAGCCAGAATTCAAAACAGACAAATCTGTCCATAAGATTGACGTTAGCTGTTAATAAGCCGTTAAACCCTATATACACATTTAACTAGCTATAAAATCACGTCTGATATTGAAGGATGTCCTTTAAGTATTGCATCAATAAAGTGAAGTTTCATTATACACGCATATATAATGTTCAAATTGATAAAATATGACAGACTGTTAAACCTCTCTCATCAGATCTGAAACCCACAGCAGTAGTATTCAAAAATAATCATTTTACCAAAATACTAAAAAAAAAGTTTATTCGAAATGAACAAATATTAATATTAACCCATACATCCCAGGCATACAAATAAATCATGATAGGACTTCCTTTGAAGAGTGGGAACTCATTTACCTGCACATCATTATACCGTAAAATTTCCTTTTCTGAACAAAAGGTGTTATTACCTAAATATTGAAAACTATTGTAATGGGGAGGAAAAAATAACATTTTTTTTCAAACAAGGGTGAATTCACAAGGTCACTACTGCACCTGCAGGGCTGTATCCACTGTACTGTATATTCAACATACTTTCCAACTCTGCCTATTTTGGAGGGAGACTCCCAATTTCGGACCCTAAAATTGAATATTTTTGACCAGTGAGTTTGCTTAACTATTTCCATTTTTCAAGATCTGATGATTTCATCTGAAACAGCTCAAAAGATGTCATTAAAAAGTGTTATTTTTTCCCTAGGGTGTACATACCAGTATACACATTCATGTTTCTAGTTCTCATAATGTGTAATCTCACCCATGAAAAAGTTGGCAAGCATGAGTCAATAAGTTTTATAAGGACATTACCAGGTAGTAATATAAACTAACAAGTTTTCTGTTTTCGCATATAAAAATCTGAGGGTGTATATATAATTCAGTGTCATACCGAGGTTTGTGGAATCAACTAACAAGTTTCCCCCAAAAATTAAATATAGAGTTCTACCAAAGGGTGTAGAATTTCAGAATCACGGTTTGTTTGATATTACTTTAAAGTCCATCAAGGATTTTAGTCATTTTGGGCCAAAAATTACAACCAAGTCTACAAAGGATAAATCCTAGTAATCTACACCCTTTGTGACTGCTGTTCGGTGGGAGATTTATGTTCTAAACACAATGCATGTGAGATATAATGTAACCGTTACAGTAACTTCACACTGATAATAAAAGTATTTACACCCTATGAGTGGTTGGGTGGCACAGTGGATAGTGCAACTCATTTCACGTCCTAGCCTTTCACCAAGGCGGCTGGGGTTTGAATCCCCGGTTGTACATAAAAAGGTATGGGGTCACCTTCTTGACTATGTGGGGTTTTTCCAGGTCCTCCAGTTTCCTCCCACATTAAGACCCCCGGTGTGCTAACATCTGGGCCAAAAATACTGATATATATATGTAAGTTGAATAACTTGTTTCATAATTGTTGTAAACAAACTTTTTTAACATCTACGTTTGGTCTTCTAACCTTCCCCCCCCCCCCCCTTCCCTGCAACTAAAAGCATTTCTGTTTGGTCTTCTAAGCTCCATCCCCTTACCCCAACATACTAAGAAAAATATTGGAAGGCTATCTTAAAGATTCAGTGTATATTACCTGATTGAAAATACATGTTTAGCAAATTAAAATTCTAGCAAATATCACTTGTTAGGAATGGCTGTAGGTACTGCAAGTACTCACAATTTTTTTTTCTCCAAATATTTCTTAATTTTCATTAACAGTAAAAACCTTGTTTGTACTTAAATAATAAAAAATAGAACTTATTAATAATCGCTATTATCAGCTGTCTGTTGCCAATAAATTAACTCCAGGGATGTTTTCCGTGGGAAAATTGTCCGTAATAGAACTAGAATCGGCGATATCGCTGAAGTTTTCCTTCTTGTATTGTCCTAGTTTGAATTTGCAGCATATCAGATCTGTTACAAAACCAGCCAGGGAGTGCATTATACCTGAAAATACACAAACATACGATCCAGCTAATCAATGAGAACATTTTGTAATACACGTACCTTTATTATTCAACAAAGATGTATGGTAAAGAACTACTGCATTTCGGGAAATTTGCACCCAGTCAAACTTTTGCCCTTCACCCACAGGCACTAGCCTCATCTTGTGTCAATATACCTATAATAGTGCCTCGTCTGTCAATTTACCTATATATTATAGGTGTATTGACAGACGAGGCTAGTGCCTGTGCTTCACCAGAATAATCCATAAGCACCTAGTATTAATTTCGCACTACACTTATTATTAATATGCATTGTTTACTAGTGTTCGCTCTCATGATAAATTTCGTTACGGCAGGCGAAAAAAGGGTGAAAATTAAACTGCAGTGAACATTTACCGGTATACACTACTAACATACAGACATGCAGATGATCACGGATAATAATTTGTGAACCACTTTGAGACGACCTATGAATTATGTTGTGACAAAGCGGTATATAAAATCCTAAAATTATTATTATTATTATGACACAAACATTAACAACAGCAAAAAGATGGAGTTCATCTGAAAAGATCGGGCCATTCCAAACAACTATGGACTTACAAAAGGGAAACTGCAATAAACTAACTATGTATTATGTAATATGTCCGACATGTTTAAGAAAATTATTCTTCCATACAGAATGAACTCACCTGATACAGAAAATATTCCTCCAACAATACCAATTAATCGTATGAGAAACTGTCCAAATGGTCGGTGAACTTCTCGTACACGAATTTTCAGAGAGTTGAGATCATACTTCACGAATATCCCTGGCACTCCATGGCTCCCTGAGGAATGGTTAATGCTTCGATTCTAGACATAAGTAACAGAAAAAGTGTGAACTAAACACTTTGATAGTGACACCAACACGATTATGTTTTGCGACCACAACGAAAAAGTAACACTTAAGGATAAATTCAGATTGATAATGAACCAAACTAGTACCGTATCTATCCAGCAATAAGCCCACCCATATCTATTACAGTTCAGTAGAAATACAACATACCAACAATTGCTATTTCACTGTATAATAAAAAGCCCACCTCCACCCATATCTATTACAGTTCAGTAGAAATACTATATACCAACAATTGCTATTTCACTGTATAGTAAAAAGCCCAATATTAAATTATTTTGAGCCGTCTGGGCTTATTGCAGGATAAATTCTGTACTGATATCCATTGACAATTAAGTTACTAACTTAGTGAGAATCACGGTAACCTTCGACATACTGTACAACAGGAAACTTTTGTCTAGTCAAATTTCCTCTCTTCACCAGAAAATTCAATATTCATCAAGTGTTAATTTCACCCTTTACATTAAAAGTCACGCTACCACAATAGGTACAATATTAATTTTGACATTTTTTTCGTGATATTTAAAAATCCAGATCTCTGATCTAGAATTTTTCTTGATTCTTGTCAAAGACTATCTATGATGGTTCATTTTCAGGAAAAGTTTTGATTCTAAGTAATATGTTTTAAAAATAGAACGCCAAACTTGCAGTGAGATTTTGTCTGTTTTTTGGCCATGATGAGTAACCCAAATTGGTACACCCCATCACAGGTTATAAACTTGTTTTTATTTCTCCTAATTGATGTGCAGATTACAACAAAATGTATTGCTTTATGAATAACATACTGAACTACAATTGTGTATATACACTTTCATATTATCTGATTATAATGACCAGAAATCAACATCTAAACATGCTTATAAATAATCCTCAAAACCCTCAAAAATTTATTCGACATGTCATTTTTTCTGGTTTTCTGACGAGTTTACCCTAAAGTCATGTTATACTCTTAAAATGTCGCTGAAAACAACACTATTTCATGGAAATGCTGATTATTATTTCTATTGCTATGCCATAGGAGGAAACTACACCAATTTGATTTTAAAGTACTTTTCAAAACATTTTCTGACTGTGTATCTATCGGGACAGCATACCAATTGTGGTAGCTTGACATCAATGGTACTTTGTGTACTAATATTTGCTGTTATGATAAATTTTGCCCTATTTACTGTATGAAAAAAAGTGCACTGCATCAAATCGAAATATTCCCAGTACACAGTTTTACTTACCCGATGTGAAACGGCATACTGGTAGGTGTCAACATTGGCCGCGTATGTTCTAACTTCTGTCGGCACTATCTGCATAAAGTACTGGTACATATAGAAGTCTGAAAGAAAACAGAAAGTTAACATACAAAACAGGAAGTTAACATATAGAACAGGAAGTTAACATATAAAAAAGAAAGTTAACATACAAAACAGGAAGGTAACATTTAAAATAGGAAGTGAACATATAAAACAGGAAGTTAATGTACAAAATCAGGAAGTTAACATATAGAACAGGAAGTTAAAGTACAAAACAGAAAGTTAACATAAAAAACAGGAAGGTAACATTTAAAATAGGAAGTTAACATACAAAACAGGAAGTTAACGTACAAAACAGAAAGTTAACATACAAAACAGGAAGGTAACGTACAAAACAGGAAGGTAACATTTAAAGTAGGAAGTTAACATATAAAACAGGAAGTTAACGTACAAAACAGGAAGTTAAGGAACAGAAACGGAAGATAATGTCGTTTTTCGTTATTCAAAGGGCCATAACTCCACAAAATGGGGTCCGCTGAAAGTGGTCATCATACTTGGCCAAGCCCTTAAGGCTTTTAACCCTGGTACCAAGTTTGAAAAAAAATGGTTAAAATTTGTTGTAGTTATTGCACAGAAACAAAGCGCGGCAGATAATGATGTTTTTTCATTATTCAAGTGACCATTACTCCGACAAATGGGGTCCCCTGAAAGTGGTCATCGAATTTGGCCGAGTCCTTAAGGCATTTAACCCTGTGACCAAGTTTGAAGAAAATTGGTTAACATTTGTTGTAGTTATTGCATGGATACGAGGGTGACAGACAGAGACAGACAGACGGACAAACCCAAATTAATATCTCCCCGTTTCGGTGAAAGCGGGGGATAATGAGAAGTTAACATAAGCTTTGAATAATATAGCACACCAAGGTGGACGGGTAACATGTTCGATGAACAAAAACGATAGGGGTTACCAGCTTAGTCATATTCATGACCCCATTTTTACATCCAATAAGGGGCTGAACGGATAAACATGCTACCCGTCCCCCTGACTACCTGCTGTATTAGAGTGCAATTGGGCAATATGTCTATCATTTTTGACAGCTGACTTAACTGATTTGGCCTTCTGTGGCTTAGTGAGTTGTTTTCAGCGGTTTAGAGTCGAGACACCGGTCATTGACACTCTTTGCTTGACGAAAGGAAACAGCATTTTCGAAAGTTTTGAAATTTTGTGTTCAAAACAAACTTAGCCTTTACATGACATGACTTACTGTCTGGGGTAACATTCTCCTCTCCGTCCAGGGGGTTGATCACTCCATTGACAGGTTCACCAAATGAGAAATGGTCAATTCTGTGAGAGAAGTTGTAATCTATGAACAAAACAAAAACAAAAGTTCAAGTAGACCATCACAGTAGTGAGATAACATAACAGAACTGTCGAAATAATAACATTTTTAGTCATAAATCATTTTTAGTCATAAATTTAATATTTCTGGCTATAGATTTTAAGTTCAATTTGAAAAAGAACATTAGAGATAAAAATACTTGTTGGTGCTAAAGCATCTCGAGAAAATATCAGAACTGCTCATAACAAGATCAATATTTTAGAACTAAAATAGTTATTACAGAACTGAAAACAATAATACTCATTTAACTCATTCACCCCCTGAAATGTCATAATGAACTATTCCAACCTTTGAATTGGAAGAGTTTAAAATTGCGCCATAATGAAAGTCACAAGAAATGTGTAACAAAGTTGACAAAGTTACCCTGGTCGTGTATCTGTGTACAGTAACAGCTGTTTCATACCGTTTCCTGTTTACATTTCGACTAATTTCAGTGGATCAACTAATAACATTCTTAAAGTGTTGCATCATCTCCTGAATGTAGTTTTTTCTATGAAATATCCTGATAAAAGATGAGTAAATAACAACTACTTTGATTTAGCTTAACATAGTTGTTTATAACAATGATTTTTTTGATTGGTGTGAAACCAAACCATTGCATAAGGCGAAACATTTGTTCAGAAATATATTTGGAGCTAGATGGTTTGCAATGCAGACAACAACAAGTGTAAACCACAGAATAAATTACCGTAGGTAATAAACATGGAACAAGCTTATTTTTACCCACAAATCCACTAAAATCAGTGGAAGCATAAACACGAAACAGGACTAAACATCCGTTGTCCTACACAGCTACACGACAGCGGTAAAAAGTTACGCTGCATAAAATCATGACACGAAAGTGTCTTTTTTCAGAACAATAGCATGTGTCAAGCTTGGTAAGGACAGATTTATCTTTTCTCGAGCAGAGGAAATGCACATTTAAGTGTGGGAGAAAGCTTACATCTGTTACTATTATTTCAGAGGTAGGAGTACGTGTGAACTTTTCAATGTGGTACAAGTACAATTAATTCTGGTACTAAAACTAACCTGTATTTCTCTCCTCTCCACAGCAGTGAGACAACTGATAACCTATATCTTATACTCCTCTTTACTTACACACTTACTTTTAGCAAGTGTTCTGTTTTCTATCAATTCATAAGACTTTGTAAGCTTACCTGTTTTCTTTACTCAAATACTAAGAAGTAAACTTACCTGCTTCTATTCTTATCTTTGTCAAACAAGAAGTGCCCATAAGCTGACTTTTTTTTCTTTGCCTACCTGTTTTTTTCTTTTCTTTACTAAAATACTACGAAGTAAGCTTACCTTATTTTTCCTTTGTTTACCTGCTTTTTTCTTTTCTTTACTCAAACACTAAGAAGTCAGCTTACCTTTTTGTTTGCCTACCAGCATTTTGGCCTTTTCTTCACTAAAAATCTAGGAAGTAAGCTTACCTATTCTTAACTCTCTTACTCAAAAATTAATAGCTTCCCTTTTTTTCTTCTTTTCCTATACTAATATATATACCAAGATGTAAGCTTACCTTTTCATAACTCACTTACTCAAAAGTTAATAGCTTACCTGTTTTTCTCCTTTTCCTATACTAATATATATACCAAGATGAAAGCTTACTTGCTATCTTTTCATTCCTTTACCCACATGCTCATAAAAAGCTTACCTGCTTTCTTGACGTTTCTTTAATCACATGCTCAAAAGCTAAATTTTTTCAGTTTTCTTCACTCAAATAGTGGAAGTGTGCATGATTTTTTCACTTTTTTTACTCAAATACTAAAGAGTAAGTTTGCTTGCTTTATTTACTTTTTTTTCAACTCACATTCCAAGAAGTAAAACTTACCTGCATTTTCAACAAAGGCTGCTACGTGGGTGTGCCGCCCCATGTGGGGGATGTTTCTGGACAGAGAGATAACAGTATGTAACTATGGTAACTTATAAAAGGTCAAAGGTCGTCAAGATCAGTCCTGAACAGCTTCACACTATACAATTGATTTCAATCATAGCTGTAAGAAACACGTCTGATAACAAATGAAATAATTTGATGTGCTTCTTGACATTTTTTTTATCTCATGTAATTTAATCATACACAGAGGAAATTTGTTAGTCCCTGTTCAAGTAGCTTACGATATCGACATACAATGTACCTACTGGAAGGTAAGCCTGGGTTACATTCGTGTATCCCGGTTGAAACGGATCAGGTGATGCAGAAATATTCCACAATAAACTATCACACTTGGACCGAACTATAGGCGGAGCTAAAAAATGCAGTTTCGGAGAACTAATAACAATATATCAAGAATAAAATGTCCTTCTTCACGCATCCACTAAATTATATAACATATCTTAAAATGAACATGTGGCTTGACCTTGTTTTATATAAAAGAAAAAAAATTAGCAATAGTCAGCATTTTAGTTTCGGTCAGGCACGTCTGGACCCCTCGATGTACACGTGCCGAATATTCCTGAGGTCAGCCTCGGTTCAGATCTGTGCCTGTCGTTTTCTCTCTAGGTTCAACCATTTCAACGCGAAAGGGGCCCAGTATTGTTGTAAGCCAGACACTATGGTATATGCATTACGTTTATAAGGTACATTTCTTCAAGGTGAGTCAGTCAAGTAGGAAGAAAAATGTTTCGTGTTTTCAATGTGAGCCTGTCTTGCAATAAGCAAGATGTATTCTATGCGAGCTAATCTTGTAGTAGACCATACAACATGGTAGATATTCAAGAAATGTTAAAAAGAAAACAGAAACTTGTTGGACTAATTAACCTCCTCTGTATACTAAATTCTGCATTTGTCTTACAGATTTGGTTCTTTGTGTTTTACATCCTATTAATCCTTTCACCACTGTAGACCATAATGGACTCATCCAGATCAATGCATGGTAGAGTCTACTAAAGTTACATGGGGTTGAAGGGTTAACAGCTATGCTAATGCATTTAAGGATGTGCCAGGTTTTGGTGGTGAAGGAAAACCAGATTGCCTGGAGAAAAACCTCCGACCTGTGGCCAGTACCTGGAGACTGCCCCAAATAGGCCTCGATCCCGCGACCCAGTGGTGGATGACTGAGTGATCACAGACGACCGGTCAGAAGCCTTAACTACACACTGGGTCACAAAAAAATGTATCATTATATAGTGTAAAGCTGTAAATTAACCCTTTTACCACTGTAGACCATAATGGACTCAACCATATCAATGCATGGTAGAGTCTACTAAAGTTACATAGGAGTGAAAGGGTTAGACTTGACATAATCTTTTATTATTTAAATACAATGTTGCCCCGTGAACCAAACAACCACACCATTCCATGCAGATATTACTTGGATAATAGCCAGCTGTGGGCCTCAATCTACCCTCTTCGGCCCCTTACCAGAGTTCTTAATCATCATGGATATGTGAGCATGTCCTCGTGGTATCATCGGCACCGACCTGGAGGTCAAAAGGTCATTAAACATCACCAACCCATGCACAGCATAAGTATAAATTACATACAATGCATTTTGCGGTAAAACAGGTCTTGAGAGACTATCTTCCTATACAAAACACTGGTAAATATCATAATTTCTTAAAATTTTACATACCGGCACTGTAAATACAGGTTCCCTATTGAGTGATGGTTGGTGAGCATGTTTAACTCCAGTTAGTTAATTCGTACATGAGGTTTACCAACTGTTTTTTACAATTTGAAAATTTATCAAGTGTTTTTTTTACAGTTTGAAAATTTACTAACAATATAATTGCCAACCCTCCCTATTTAGGAGGGAGATTCCTGATTTTGGACCCTTACATTTAGTGTTTTCAAAGAGTGAATTTGCTTAACAGTGCCTATATTGTAAAATCTAATGATTTCATCTGAGAGAATAACTCAAAATATGTCAGTTGAAAGGGTTATTCTCTCAGATGAAATCATTAGATCTAATGATTTCATCTGAGAGAATAACTCAAAATATGTCAGTTGAAAGGGTTATTTTGTCTCTAGGGGGTGTATGCACACATTTTATCTACGTTTTAAATTTGAGCATGCAGAATCTCCCCCCTGGAAATTTCAAAAAGATGGCAAGTATGTAACAAGAGTTCGATTGTGATAATCAACCATCAGAAGTTTAGAGACCCTTTTCTCCCGGAATATACAGGTGTTTAATGTTGAAAACGACATGTTTATCTTGGGAATACATTATTCCTGTTTCTGACCAGTGAAACAACTGCCATGAACTATGAAGTCACAATGGAAGATGTGAGTTTTAATTAGTTAACTCATTCACCCTGAAGACACATTTGAACTCTTACAATTCAAAGGTTGGAATAGTTCATGAAGAAATTTCAGGGGTGAATGAGTTAACAGCAGTGAGGATGGCCTCTCAAAACATATTTGATTAGAATATACCTCCACCATGGCATGCAAACCTATGTGCATTCAAGGCTCAATTTCATAAAAATGTGTTATCATACATATAACGGATTTTCAAAATCAGTTTTACGGCAAGATTATAATTAAAAGAAAAAGAAATCCATTGAAAAAGCATTTCCTCACCTATTTTTAGCCATTACAATATCTAAAGATTTATGAAATTGGTCCGAGAATAATTTAAAATTGACATTAATATTTGAATCTGAAGGAAAGGAAACCAAGACATTTTACGGCAATTTACAGGAAATGCTGGCCAGGTCTTTTCAATACTTGTGAGCTTAAACATTTTTTAAAGACTCAAATATAATACATGCATATCTATCACCAACAAATTGTGGACACCAATGCAATCACCATTTGACAGACATGTACAAGTGATATTAATATTGCTACCCTGTATCGAACACCGTGCCACAAACACATGTGATGTTGACTTATCAGCTTGGTCATACAAACATACAATACAGTTAATATTTCATGTATTCAGCAAAATAAATTTTAAAAAACACTTAAAAATAGAAAATATTAAACATTATGCTTCCAGTAAACTAGAAAATGTCTACAAAAGACATGAATGCCCCCTTTGTATTAAGTTTGCTGAAAATCTATAAAAGAATGGGCAACACTATAATTATATATATAACTTTATGTGAAATTTAAAAGCTCAAATTTCAAGATGGACACCTGTCACCTATCTTGGTTTACCGATCAGTCCCAGAATTTACCATTTAAATTAAATTTGGATGGTGAACGGAGCGAAATCAGGATGAAATGTTTACATAGAGCTGCGAGGACTTTTGACAAGGTAAAGTGTCGCGGAGACTACTACATCATTAACTTTAAATATAAAATTTGGTGAGGACTCGCTGTTCTTACTTTCCTGCTGTAATGTGAAAATTTCCAGCCACTTTGTTGACCTCCAAGGATCCATGAACTCGGCAGGCATCCGGTTGACCCACTGGGTTGTCATCCCTGAAAACGATACAGCAACTTTTTTCATCACAACACTAACTGGCAAAATCATGCAAGCAGTGTAACAGTTTGTTACAGAAAATCACATGATTTTCGCATATACAGTAAAACTTCTATATAATGCCCCTCGTGTGATATGTACAGTAAAATCTCGATATAATGCCCCTCGTGTGATATATACAGTAAAACCTCGATATAGTGCCCCTCGTGTTATATGTACAGTAAAACCTCGATATAATGCCCTCGTGTAATATATACAGTAAAACCTCGATATAGTGCCCCTCGTGTGATATATACAGTAAAACTTCTATATAATGCCCCTCGTGTGATATATAAAGCAAAACCTCAATATAATGCCCCTCGTGTGATATATACAGTAAAACTTCTATATAATGCCCCTCGTGTGATATATAAAGCAAAACCTCAATATAATGCCCCTCGTGTGATATATACAGTAAAACTTCTATATAATGCCCCTCGTGTGATATATAAAGCAAAACCTCAATATAATGCCCCTCGTGTGATATATACAGTAAAACTTCTATATAATGCCCCTCGTGTGATATATAAAGCAAAACCTCAATATAATGCCCCTCGTGTGATATATACAGTAAAACCTCGATATAATGCCCCTCGTGTGATATATACAGTAAAACCTCGATATAATGCCCCTTATTTGATATGTACAGTAAAACCTCGGTATAGTGCCCCTCGTGTGATATATAAAGCAAAACCTCGATATAATGCCCCTCGTGTGATATATACAGTAAAACCTCGATATAATGTCCCTTATTTGATATGTACAGTAAAACCTCGATATAATGCCCCTCGTGTGATATATACAGTAAAACCGCGATATAATGCCCCTCGTGTGATATATACAGTAAAACCTCAATATAATGCCCCTCGTGTGATATATACAGTAAAACCTCGATATAATGCCCCTCGTGTGATATATACAGTAAAACCTCCATATAGTGCCCCTCGTGTGATATATACAGTAAAACCTCGATATAATGCCCCTTATTTGATATGTACAGTAAAACCTCGATATAGTGCCCCACGTGTGATATGTACAGTAAAACCTCGATATAATGCCCCTCGTGTGATGTATACAGTAAAACCTCGATATAATGCCCCTCGTGTGATGTATACAGTAAAACCTCGATATAATGCCCCTCGTGTGATATATACAGTAAAACCTTGATATATTGCCCCTTATTTGATATGTACAGTAAAACCTCGATATAATGCCCCTCGTGTGATATATACAGTAAAACCTTGATATATTGCCCCTTATTTGATATGTACAGTAAAACCTCGATATAGTGCTCCTCGTGTGATATGTACATTAAAACCTCGATATAATGCCCCTTGTTTCATTTGCCACCTCGTTTATCGTCAACATATTTAATGTCCCTTTTTAAGAAAAACTTTATACATTTCCCTCAATTTATCACCAAACATCTTATAATGTCAAAAATTCTCTGAACAAATGGTGGCAGTATAACATGGTTTTACTGTACTTATTTTCTGCAATTGTTCTTCCAACAAAATGTTAGCAAAAATGTTAATTCACACAAGGTGCAACGAATGATATCCACTATACATACATGTACTTTAATTTGCTCAGCTTTCCTTTCGAAGAATTAAAACAAAATATGTATCTCAGGAAATGTAAATAAGAGGCCCAGAGGACCTGTATTGCTCACCTGGATTATTGAACAATTATGGGAAAATAAACTCAATAAAAGTACTTTTGTAAATATTTCCATATATTGAGTCTCCTTGGCTTAAGAATGTTTGAGACTAAATGAAACTTTATGCTGCTCTATCCCAGCATGCTACTGGTCAAATATCATCACCCAGGGCCTCCTGGTATCACAGAAGAAGTTGTTTAATGATATTTAAAAGTAGGTCAAGGTCATTTATTTGGGGAAACTTTGTAGCACTCTGTCTCAGGTACCTACTGACCAAGTATCATTGCTCTGGGCCTCCTGGTTATTCAGAAGAAGTTGCTTAAAGGTTTTTACATATTTAACCCCTGTGACCTTGAAAGTAGGTCAAGGTAATTTATTTGAGGAAACTGTATAGCACTTCATGCCATGTACTGACTGGCCAAGTAGCATTGCTCTAGGCCTCCTGGTTATTCATAAGAAGTTGTTTTAAAGGTTTTGACATATTTTACCCCTGTGACCTTGAAAGTTAGTCAAGGTCATTTATTTCAATTAAATTTATAGCACTTTGTCCCAGGTACATTGTGGCCAAATAGCATGGCCCTAGGTCCTCCAGTTCTTAAGAAGAAGTCATTCAAAGAAAAGAAAGACCTGACAGATGATGGATGGACGATGGACAACACACCATACCATAAGCTCAACTGTCACTTCATGACAAATGTGTTTATAATGTATACTTTACAGTAGCCTAATGGTGAAGAAGACACATTTAACAGAAAATACCTATACAGATACAATATCACTATAGCTGGTATTCATGGATCACATCCTGGATACTCCAGAGGTTCGCAACTTACCTCGGTGGCATGCCCTGTTTGTAGACAGCCGAGATGCCAGACATCCACAGAAGCTCTTGTATAGCATGATATTCCTCCCTCAGGTAGGCATTAATCTCCTGCACCACATCCTGGTATTGACGTTGTCGTGGGGTCAGTTCAAAGATGGCCTTGTCTAAGGTCAACTGTCCAAACATGTTGGTGTCTTGTCCGGTCATGTCAACCACATCCGCTCCAATCACTGCAAGACAAACATTTCATAGCAGCAACCACCATATAGTAAAAAGACGGACATTTGTCTTTTGGCAGAGATTTTAGAAAAAAAATCAAATGAAGTTATGTTTGGTTTAGTATTGTTTAACGTCCTATCAACAACTAGTCATTTAAGGACGGCCTCCCCTGTGTGCAAGATACATGCGTGTAGTGTTAGCGTGTGTGTTTCGGGAGGCTGCGATATGTTCGTGTTTGTCTCCTTGTGATAGCACGGAACTGATACCAACTTTATAGAGCTATCTTACTGAAACATACTGTCAAAGACACCCAGCATGACACCCCACCCGCTCACATTATACTGACATTGGGCGAACCAGTTGTCCCACTCAATCATGTATGTACATAATACATATGAAAACTAGAAATTTTATTTTTTTGTACAAAGCATGTGTGTCCTCTTATAAGCCAATATATGTATATGTTTTGTACCTGTTTGACCTTTGAACTACATTACATGCACAGCACTTCAAACTTTTGATTCCTTGATTGGCTGATACAGGTATGCGCCATGTTTTATCAAGATACTTCAATGGTTTATAATTTACAGCTCTTGTAATATTAAACAGACCAATGGAAACCTACGCATGAAATTTGAGAATAATCTGCCAAATACTTCTTGAGAAATAGCAATAACAAACTTTAAATGTCAAAATCAAAGATATCCGTCTAATGGATTGGCATACAGCCATCTTGCTTTTCCCATTGGTCTCAAAATGAACCATGCACAACTAATATAAGTACAAAGGAAACGATCACATAAAGTTTGCATAATAGTTCATGGTAAATATTGATTACAAGAATTGTTTCAGGGCTGCAGACAGAAGTTGATCTGAATAGCCCACTATCTGATGAAGGTGGGCTAGTAAATATAATTTCTTTATAAATATACAAACATACACATATTTATCACATAATGTACTGTGTTATCCAGTGAATATACCCATGTCATATTCTTTGCGTATTAACCCATGCAATATGACCTATCAGCCCTGTGATTGAATGTAAGTTCCAATTGTGACGTCACGCCTAGGACAAGTACATGACGCCACAGACTTACGCACTGGAGCCAAAATGACGGCTTTTTACATTTCAAGGTTGCATGAAAATTGTTGTTTTACACGAGTAAATGCCACAAATCCTGATCACATGATAAAAAGGATATTACACTCGTTTTCATTTTATATGAAATCTATGAAACTCGTCACAAATTTTTCGTTTTAGCTCGCCAGAGGCTCGCTTAATTTAAAAATTCTTAGACTCGTTTCATAAATCTCATATGAAAATATATAGTATGGTGGAGAAAGAAAAAAAAAATCTTCAAAAAGGGAGGGTAGATGGAAATCTATTGAAAATGGACATATTAAATACTTACAGACATTTTGTCATCATGTCAACTAGCCTGAGATTATCTTTCTTGCAAAATAATATTGTGAATTTATATATAAATATAGGATCCAAAGAACAAATCCAACAATTACATCTAAGTTTGGGGCTTCAAAAACTTAAGAGTCTATTAATTGAAAGCCGTGATGTGTTTGCCATGTTTACAGATTGTATCAAACAACTTGGACTTACTCTGACAAGGCATTGCTACAGTCATATCAATGTTGATTTTCAGTTTTCTGAAAAAAAAAAAAAAAAAAGATTAATTAAAAACATAGGGTGTAACTTCCTATCAACAGCTAAGGTCAGTTAGGGACGTTCCTCAAATAAATAATTAAGAAACGGCTTAAAAATACTTTATCATGCATAATAATATTGTAAGCATTTACAGCAAGACTTTTACACATTAATTGTCCATGTTTCATTTCCCAACTTATTTACTGTAAATATATTTTGATGTCCCCTTTCTTTATCCTTGGTCCCAGGGGGAAATTGGACTTATATATAAATGCTTATTTACGATTAAAGTGTGATTTTCCCTGGGACAGAAGATGCTTTTATTTCATTTCAACAACTCCTATAAAATTTGTAATTTTCTATCTCTCTATCTATCATCAAATGCTTCATAACAACAAGGTAAATAGTGGCAATATAATGAAGCATTTCTGTACAACCGGTCTAAATCAGTCTTTTTCTTAAACCCGTAAAGATTGGAGGAAGAGCTCACATTCCTAGACCAAACAAGATTATATCCAGAGTACTGCAGGGGTAAAACAATATTTGATACACATCATGCTGCATTATCTAAACTTATTCACTCCTGAGGACACATTTGAACTCTTCCAATTCAAAGGTTGGAATAGTTCATTATGAAATTTCAGGGGTGAACGAGTTAAACATTATTTAATACATCTCATACCATGTAGCATCATCTTTGACTCATTCATTGTGTACTAGTAACAAACTGACATACTTTGAATTTTTCTGATGCATTCTTGTAACAAAACATATGAAAATACTGAAAGGTAACAAGAAGAAACTGCATTTGTACTATATTACTCAAGTCAGTAGTGAGCTTTCACCAGAGATCAAACCTGCAACCCAAAACTTCCTAGTCATATGCTCTACCACTGAGCTAAAGGGTATTCCCTCTAGCTTGAAGCTAGAAGGTGACCGTAATCCTATGTACAATTAAAATCTGCCACACTACTCCCCCCTTTTTAAAAGTGTTCGCCCTCGCACACCACAACAACCCAGGTTCTAACTCCCTGTCACTACAGGGAGAGCCTCAGACACGATTTGTAACAGGAAAGTAAGTAGTGTGCTTCCACCAGGGATCAAGCCCGCGATCCCAGACTTCCTCGTCGTACACTCTACCACTGAGCTAAAGGAAAATTCCCTGTAGTGCGAAGCTAAAAGGCAACCGTAATCCAACATACAGTTAAAATCTGCCACAAAAGAATGGTTTGCTGAAAACATGACATTACCCGTCAGCATCTGTATCGACTTCGTAGTCAAATTTGAGCTGTGTGGATGCATAGTAGGCCACTTCTGACATCACTAAGATAGCAATGAGGATAAAGACCACGATGGAAACTGGAAATTACAGAAACATAATTAAAACATACCCAATTTACATGTTTAACAGAGGTAAGAATTCCAAGACAAGCATTTTGAAATTTCCTTGAGTTCTAAATTTCCTTACGTTCTCAAGTAATAGGTCATGAGAAAGCAACAAATGTATTTTAAAATTGTTCAAAGTTTTTCCTGTTCATCGTAAAGCTGAGAATTAGTAAATCAATTTTTTAACTTGAGACGAAAAATCTTGCATCTGCAAATTTTTTGTTCCAACAGTATCAACATGAAATAAATTCTGCAAAAACATATTTGGTTCAAGATTCTACTTGATTATATCAATTGTATCCAACAATTATCTGATAAATATAAGATCTTAACTATGTTCAAATTGCAGTTAGGAAATACATGCACATAACATCCACAAATAGTAGGTATACCTCCCCCTCCTGTCGGTGTTGTTTTCTTGTAGTCATCTGGGACTTTTGGAAAGGCATCAAACTCCTTCACAACTTTCAAAGCCTGTTTCTGGTTAAGGGCATTCAGTCTTCGCATTATGGCATTTGTTCTTGATTGCAATGGCTGTATAAAGAAAATACAAATGCTTTTCAATAATTTCTATTTAATTATATTATTATTAAAATTGTATTATTTTTATCAAAATTATTTCACTGAATGGCTTTATAATTGTATCGGGACCAGAAAAATGCATGGTCAGACCCATTAGCTTCATTCAGTACCTATGAATAGGATATTTCAGTACTTTTTTTAAAGATGAGAAATTCTGAAGAATTTTAAAATTTTCCCCTATTTCAGTTAAAAATCCCCCACTTGTAACTAAATTACTACCATATGAATATCTGTCTTGATTTGTTTTTATTTTGCACCAGTTCCACGTCTGAATGATTTATTTCCTTTTCCCTGTATTCATGTTAATTGTCACTACTAATTAACTGATATTTTATGACAGTTTACTGTTACAGCTTGCCCTGTTTTCAGTATACAATATCATAAAAGTCACACAAAAGCCTTTATTCTAATGCAATACCGGTGGTCAATTTGTCATGTCTATAATGAACAGTGAGAAACAAAAATTAATGATGTCATTTATGCCCCCCTCTCATACTCGCCCCCTGGCTACGGCCTGTATGTGGCCACCCTTCCTTTCGGCGGGTCATGCACAAATTTTTCCCTTATTTCAAAAAGGATACTAACTTTCTGTTCCTGCATTAATCCCTGGGGGTTAATTGAAGTTCCTATAATGACATGCTAAAGCAATCGGAAAGCTACGGTCACTAGAGGCAAATATAAATTTAGACAAATTTCCTCATGCTAATATATAATTTAGACAAATTTCCTCAAACAAAGATTTTTACAAATATTCATTCTTTCCAAAAAATATATCAGGCTGGAATAATCTATCGGAATGAATTGCATGACCCCTTCCCTTGAATCCTTCAAAAGTGGTATCTCCACCTTAACATCTGAAGGAGCCACATCGACTTATTAATTTAAATAATAAAGCCACTGGCACTGTACTTTTTTTTCCTGGACATTTTTACCGCCCCATTTTTACGCTCCTTTCTACCTACTTTTGGAAGAACATATTCTTTTACAGTTTGGTTGAAAAATAATATACGGAATCAACGTTACTTATTGTAAGGATATGTGTTGTGACATTTGCCAAAATATGACAAATCGTAAGGTGACCATTTTCTTCACACAAAAAGTCACAATGTATGAAATTAGAATTTAGAAACAAAAATGTTTGCTTGTCTGCCGACATGGCAATCCGTTCTTTACCTCACGCTTTACTTTAATTTGTATCCTGATACTTTGATGCGGTGAGTATAGAAACACAACGACTTATCATCTAGCATACGTTACCTGACTTGTTTGCTGTATTAAATCAGTTGTTTTGCATTATATGTATGAGCAGGTGAAATCTAAAGTAACTGTGATGTGGACAGGAAACTACAGTTGAAACAATAAATTTCGACCGGAACAACATTTTCCGGATTTCTTCATCGTTAAGAAAATCTATCATTATATTTTAACCAACTCCTATCAGGTTTACCTAAATGGGTGAGGAAAACGGTCGGATTATATTGATGATAATATAGAAGAACATAAATGGCGCAACTAAATCGGAGGCAACCGAGCAAAGTCGGTGTAGGAGACAAAAAGGGCCCAATATCAACGACATGTTATAGACAAGGAAAACAGTACCAAACCTCAACACAAGTGCAAACTGATAACGAGGCAAAATTTAGTAAAGTATCAGCACGTTCATTCTCACTTATCATGCGTTAACAGTAAAAGTGGAAACTGGACTTTGCATTGCGAACATTTTGTTATCTTTTCTCAAAAGATTTATATGTCTCTGAACATGTGTAGGATAATAAGCCGAAAGGGTTCTGTTTACTATTCACCAGTTTTGAAAACAGAAGTGTCCATTCCCAACAGGTCATTGTCTGTAAAACAGATACGGGATCCAGTACTTCTTCAAAACAAAATGTTTTTCTTCTTCGAATTTACCATATTCGCGAACCCAAGATAGACTGTGTCATAAAAACAGACATTTATGGCAGGAACGTAGCTGCCTTAGGCTCGAGTAGGCACGTGCCTACACATAGTTTTGTCAAGGAATTAGATTAGTTATCCAAGTCCGTGGTTTTGTCGAGTTTTTATTTTTAGTCAGCGCAAATTCAGAAAATTGAACAAAAATTGAATATTCGTTTTCACAAAAATAAAAGATTATATTATATCCATTATGTCTTGTATATACACAATACATCTCCAGCACACACGCAAGCATACACACATAGGGAGATATTAACCAGGTGGCATAGGACTATAGGAGTTAGCGCCTGATAAGGCAGCTCCTGCGAATTCCTCAAAAAATGTATTTCCTAATTGTATTAATTGTATATCTATGTACTGTAAAGCGCTTTAGAAAGGCTTATGTTAGCTAGTTAGGGCCGCGCTATATCAAATGTTGTATATTATTATTATTATTATTATATATGTCTAGTACAAAATATGGAAAATCTTTTCCACATAAAAAAGACCTTTTAACACATAAGTGCAATATAACTTTCAAGCTGACATAAAACAATGATATTACCACAACCAACGGTGAACAAGTTTGTAGTACCACGGAATTAGACGGAAAATTTGAAACCTCAAAAGTTCAGAGACCCAAAATAAGAGGATCCCCCTTCCAAGGCAACTCAAAATAAGGCGCCATTCTTAAATTCCCATGCCCACCCTTCAGTCGGAGCACGGGGACCTGCTAATTTGTTTCAGCTATATTTGGACCTAAACTAAGATGTTCAGAGTGATTTTACACGTTTTTTTTTGGGGGGGGGGGGGGGGGGTAGGTAAAAATGCCTTAAGGTTTGGATGAGTAACAAGATGAGCCCGCGATAAAACGTCATTTATAAGGATTCTGAATATCATCATTGGGGGCGGCATTTTTACCGAAAATTGATCCAAACCCAAAAATCATGTAAACTTACTTTGAACACTTTAGTTTAGGTCCAAATATAGCTGTAACATAGCTAGGCTAGCAGATTACGACAAGGTGACCATTCAGAACTAAGCATGCTTGATAACCAGGGTAACCCTACCTAATTCACTTTCCAATTTTTCGAAAGACGAAATACTAGCTAATGACGCTTCTCTATTACAATATTTCCGAATACGAATTAATGATAAGGATACGGACCTGTACGTCGTTTGTATTGGACTCCGGAATTTCACCAGAATCCTTGTAAATAACGTTTTATCACGGGCTCATCTTGTTACTCAACCATGCCTTTATGCAAACCTAGTACCATTTTATCAGGGTTACTGCCGTATTGTGACTCTATATACACAGGCAAATTTTGTTCACGTGGATTTCACGTGAATCTCATTTCACATGAAACTCACGTGAAATTCACATGAAATTCACGTGAAATTTGATTCATGTGAATTTCACATGAATTTTTCACATGAATTTCACATCAAAATTTTCATGTGAATACACATGAAACTCACATGAAATTCAAGTGAAATTTGGCTCACATGAAATTCATATCAAAACATTTCACGTGAAATTCACGTGGTTTTTTTCAGATTGTGAAGATTATGATGATGCCTCATGCAGATAGAAGAAAAGCTAACATTATGAACATTATTTCTGTTACTACATATATTACTTTTTGTTATATTTTGTTTGTAATATAAGTATATATTTTTACTTTTTTTTTTTTTTTAATTTAAAGTATTATGCCACGCTTGCTGATTTTTTTAAAGCATATGATCAAAACTGAAAAAGGATTTAAGACATTATAGAGTACTAACGTTGTTTCAGACCCATCTTCAGTGTCAATAATTACACCCGGATTTACTATTTTTTTATATTAGTACTTCACATCTGATTTTTCCACCATACTGGATTGCTGATCTTGATTTTCAGTCAGCACTGCAGAGTTACTTCCCTTTGCTGAGGGTGTATTCCCATACTCATTGGTAGCATTAAAAAGAGGAATGTTCAAGGTAAATAGGAACAAGAGGCCCAGAGGGCCTGTATCGCTAACCTGGATAATAAAGCAACCATGGGAAATTATTCTAGATCTTATTACAAAATAACAACCTCCAATGGTACAGATTTTAAAGAACTAAACCTCAAATTACCCTATTGGGCCCTACTCCTCTGTCCCCCAGGGGGGCCACACCCACTGTTTATACAAAATTGAGTGTCCTATGCCCAAGGATGCTCCAGACCAAATTGGGATGAATTCCTTTAATCCCTGTGGTAGGAGCAGGATTTAAAAGGTTTACCTCTATTTCCCCTATTGGGCCCCACCCCTCTGCCCTCATGGGGCCACATCAGTTTATTCAAAATTGAGTGCTATTGACCCAGGGATGCTCCAGACTAAATTAGGGTAAAATCTGGTATTGGGGGTAAATGGCCCAATTGAGGTAACGTTGTCTGGATATTTATCAACTTGATTATAAATTTATGTGAAGGTTTGCTTTTATGGTATTTTAATTTATGACAATTGAGAAAATGTTTTTAGAGATTATAATTGTGGTTAACGTTTTCAACAGAAACTTGATTTCACAACAAAGTGTAGTTTTATTTATGATCAAACTGAATTTATATTTAGTTTAATTTTGAAATATATGTTAAAACTACTGTACTAACTTAATTATATGTGCAGACATGATTTTCAGATTTAATTTACATGACACTTTGTATTTGCCTTTTTGTTATTTCCTCATTATCATTTCACTTTTTTTTTTATATCCTTAACCCTTTCACCCTTATGTAACTTTAGTTAACTCTACCATGCATTGATTTGGATGAGTCCATTATGGTCTACAGTGTTGAAAGGGTTAAGATATTTACCTGGATCCTACGGTTGATTGTTAACGGGAATATTGATTAAATTATTATAATATATATTGAGATTTTTTGTTCTCTATTGTCGGAACTAATAACCTACTCGAGCACACAATACAGTCCAAATTCTGGAAGGAAAGACAGAAGAAAAGAGATAATACGGAGTTACATGTCAATAAAGGTGAAAGTGATCGAATAATTGAACTGCTCAAAATCTCCTCATCTGTACAGCTGAGATACAACTTGGCCCTTATGAATATCAATTCAAGGTCATGGATTTGAAACTTCGTATGTATAAGCCCTTTGATTATGAAGTAGTATTTATAGTGGATAACTAACCAGATATTTTCCACATTTCCAAATAGATATAAATAAATATTTGTCTTAAGGAAGGAAGTAACAACACATTTTGACGATACACTAATTTAGAAATATAAACAAGCCGATTTCTCCCTTCGTGGTTGCTAAGTCAATAATTAGGTTGATAGGTAATTAAATAAAAAGATTTGTATTGGTACATATATACATATCTAAGCTTACTTTAACCTCAGTTTAGAACTTTGTGAATTTCTATCCTACATTGTTGTTGACATTGGGATAGCAGTACCGTTGCTATGAAATGAAAAATGGATGTAACTTCATATTAAAGTATGATGCTAGAATCTGTTAATAATTTTTTTTCTTGTAAAAGCCAACACTGTTGTTTCCATTGTATTATAACTAGGCATAATTGGTATGGGGAAAAAATGGTTGCCAAGGTCAGAAGTTGGTTGCTATGGGAAAATATAATATTGAATGTAGGATATAACCGATTCATTGTACACGTTTGCAATCAATTAACTTATAATTGATAACTTTTAAAACTATTTTCTTTCCAAAATGTTGAACAAACCTCACTAAAAGGGCGAAAACCTACCGCAAATTATAGGTGGGTTGCTAGGCAACGCTGTCGGAATTCTTTGAAACTGCACTTTTTGTAAATGTTAAATGTTCATATGGTATATAAAAATTATAGAATATATGGTATATAGAAATCCAAGGTGGGGCCAAAAATGGCCCTTAGTGCACCTACCTCTTTAGTCAAAATCTACTTAGCCATTCAGGACTACAGTGTAGTAGCGTTTTTAAGGGAAAGTTGACAAGACAGATGGACGACAGACACTGCGGTATGGCTTAAGCTCACCATGGTCCTTTGGACCAGCTGGGCAAGCAAAAAATGAAGATTACCTCCCTTTGCTAACTATGTTGTTTTCTTTTCAATTCTACCAAAGTACTATATTCTGCAGATCCTGTTTGATTTCTGACAGAAACTGTAAACATACTTATTTAGGAAGTAATACATTTCTTCATGTTCCATGTAATAGCACATATATTTGGACCATCTCCAACTCATATCTGCCAGGTTCAACATTAATATAATTCTAATTTTGTATTACATAATATATAAACTATTATTGTTTCTAGTTTTAAGTATGTTTAAAGTTGCTTCCTTGCTGTTAAAAGTTCTACATCACAACAAAGACAAATATATAAGGTTTCTCAGATATATTAAGGAGCATATAAGGTGACTCATAAC